GCGGAGCCTGCCAAGAGGCGTGGCCAGGAGGGCCGGCGCTGGGCGAGGCACGCAGCGCGTCAGGGCGGGGCGACGTGCGGGACGCACAAGCCTTCCTTTCCAGTGTACCTCCCTCTCCCTCTGATTCTTTGCCGCCTTATTGGCGGCGTCACTGTCTCGGTTTTCCCGGAAATAAGTCCACGTAGGAGCCGGCTAAGCAGCGTTAAGTGGTGACCAGCTTGGCCTCTTGTCCTTTTAGTTAGTCCCTTGTTGCCTATTTTCTCACGATGAGTCCATTAGGACTTGGGTTACTTATTTGGACAACTCATAGCTCCTCATTTCCAGGTTTTTGACTCATGGTTTCTGCCTTCTTGAAACTATGAGTTGGGGCCTCTGCGTTCTAGTCCATTAGAACCGTCGTTTTATTTTTTTCTCAGAACCTTTTAGGATGAACACGAGGTTGGCACTGTGATTTTCAACTGCAGTGATTTGCCTCCCGGGGTACATTGGCAATGCCTGGAGCGTTTTCAACCTCTTAATCTGAAAGGGGAGAGTTGGTGCTGGCATCTCTGGATGGTGGAGGGCAGAGAAGAATAGAGGCCAGGATGGCTGCTGTACTTCTTAGGATACATAGGACAGCACCCTGCAGCAAAGTCTCTGGCCTGAAATGTCAGTGCTGCTGAGGTTGAGAAACCCTGATAAGGATAAGAAAAGTCTTTTTCCTCTGAGCTTCCATTCCAAAGTGTCCTTTTTATATTCCAAAGTGTCCTTTTTATAGATTAGGAAACAGGTTCTGAGACATTAAGTAATTTACAAGTCACGTAGCTTAGTAACTCTTACTTACTGAAATTACAGAGTACTCTTTTAAGGAAAAGTGTTCAAAGAATTAACACTATAGATATTCAGTCAGAAATTGTTTTTGGCTCACTTGTGAGATTGAAATTTAGATTATTGATTCATGAATTCTCACAGCTTCAGAAATCAATGAGACTGATGGCCCCAAAAATTTATGTATTTATCCTATTTTCCCTCCATAAATATAAAAGAATATATAAGGAATAAAGAAATAAAAAGTCATGTACACACTACTCATCTTAAATATATAATAGCCCATTTTCTTTTTTTATTCTTTTTATATATACATGACACTTGAATGTATTTTGACATAGGTACATATGTACATGGAGTATATAACTTATTCTAATTAGGATCTCATTCTTGTGGTTGTACATGATGTGGAGTTACACTGATTGTGTATTCATATATAAAAATAGGAAAGTTATGTCTGATTTATTCTGTCTTTTCTATTTCTATCCCTCCTCCCTTTCCCTCATTCCCCTTTGTCCAATCCAATGAAGTTCTGCACCCACCTCTGCCTTATTGTGTATTAACATCTGCATATCAGAGAGAATTTTTGGCCTTTTGGTTTAGGGGATTGGCTTTTTCCACTTAGCATGATAATCTCCAGTTCCATCCATTTACCAGCAAATACCATAGTTTCATTCTTCCTTATGGGTGAGTTATATTCCATTGTGTATATATACCACATTTTCTTTCTTTCTTCCATTCATCTTTTGAAGGACCCCTAGGTTAGTTCCATAGTTTAACTATTGTGAATTAAGTTGCTATAGACATTGATGTGACTTTGTCACTATAAGTATGCTGATTTTAAGTCCTTTGGGTATATACTGAGGAGTGGGATAAATAGGTCAAATGGTGGTTCCATGCCAAGTTTTCTGAGGAATCTCCATACTGAATAGCCCCATTTTCTTATCAGTGGGGTAGGCCTGTAATCCCAGTGACTTTGGAGATGGAGGCAGGAGTATGGTAGGTTCAAGGCCAGCCTCAGCAACTTAGCAAGACCCTGTCTCAAAAAATTATTTAATTTTTTTATTTTTTGGTAAAAAAGCTCTGGAGATGTAGCTTAGTGGTAGAGCACCCCTGATTCAATGTCCAGTAAAACACACACACACATACACACACGCAAAAAAGATTTCTGGTAAATGTTTTTAGTGAGTTTCTCCTGAAATAATCCTGTACATTTTGAAGAATGTCATTGGAATTTTAATAGGTAGAGTAAAATATAATCAATTAAATCATAGAACACAGGAGTTCTAAGAGATACTCCATGAGGTCTTTTGCATACACCTGACTTCCATTGTGCCACAGCAACCCAATTTTTCCTGATTTGTCAAGATCAGTCACTGGGCACTCTAGGGAATTCCCTCTTTGATGGTTAGTCTGCTTGGCAATGAGGAGACCAAGGTAGCCATGGGACAGTCTCAACTTCCATTTTAATGGAATCACTGGTTTATCCTTTGGTGACTTTTATTTATGGATGTGTATAAGAAGTGCTGCATCATCAGTATTCTTGACTGCTTGAATAAGGGTATTATGTAGGAAAACATGGATATCAATGATTGAGTTGAAAACTAATTCAGAAATGTTGGACTCATCAAAAAGTTAATACCTTAGTCAGGGACTGGGAACATAGCTCAGTGGTAGACCATATGGTTAGTATGTATGCGATCATGAGTTCAATCCTCAACAGCCCCCCTGCCACAATTTTTTAAAGAATACCTTTTAAACAATTGATTTCATTTATATTTTTCTCTTATTCTTTGCACAAGTATTCAACATAATAGTCCCTATCTAACTAAGTATAAAAAAGCTCTTTTAGTAACTAGTTAAAGTTGTAAATATCAGGAGCAGTAGCATGCCTGTAATCCCAGCAACTCAGGAGGCTGAGGGAAGAGGAACATAAGTTCAATGGGGCTGGGGTTATGGCTCAAAGGTAGAGCACTTCCTTTGCATGTGCAAGGCCCTGGGTTCAATCCTCAGCACCATATAAAATAAATAAAAAAGTTATTGTGACTATGTAATGTTTTGAACGACCAACAATAAAAAAAAAGAAAAAAAAAGAAAGAAAAATTCAGTACCAAGAAAAAAAAAAGTTATTGTGTACAGCTACAAAAAATATAAAAATATTTTTTAAAAAAGTTCAAGGCCTGCCTCAGCTATTTAGTGAGACCCTGTCTCAAAATTAAAAATAAAAAAGGACTGGGAATGTAACTGAGTGGTAAAGCACTCCTGGATTTAATCCCTAGTATTAATAAACAAATGAGTTTTGTGATAAGAAAATTTATTACAGCTTTAAATGGGCCACATTGTTTCTTTCTTTAGTTTCATAAACTAATAGTGTGTCATAAAATGGATATGTCTAATATTTGATGAAATATGGCACATTTCTCTATACATATTCATAAATTATTTCATTTGATCCTTAAGTAGATATTGTGAAGTAGAGTGAGCATTATTATTTCCATAAGGCAAATGAAACAGTTAATTTTCCTTCTAGTGTGGGTGAGGCTATTTTGTCCTGTAGACTTCTGAACGTAAATACTTAATAAAGTAGTTCAATTTTTCCATAACATTAAACCACAAATTTAAACAGTTTCACCTAGGACCACCAAAAAAATCATAAAGATAAGTAAGAAAACTATTAGTGTTGTAACAAGGACTTAGACTCCACTTTTGCCTGCTTATGTTTTTTGCCTCCACTTTTGCCTGCATAAAAGTAGGATTAAAGATGTGGCATCCATTCTACCAAAACTGTTATACAGATTTAATACAATTCCTATTAAAATTCCAATGACATTCTTCATAGAACTCGAAAAAGCAATCATGAAATTCATTTGGGAAAACAAGAGACCCAGAGTAGCCAAAGCAATACTTAGCAAGAAAAGTGGAGCAGGAGGCATCACAATACCAGACCTTAATCTACACTGCAGAGAAACAGTAACAAAAGGGTGTGATATTGGTACCAAAATAGACCTGTAGACCAATGTTACAAAATAGAAGACACCAAGACAAACCCATACACATATGGTTATCTCATACTAGACAAAGGCACCAGAAACATACAT